TTTTAATTTCGATGATTACATATCATTGATTATTAAATCGACATATTCCGTATATTTCTAACAGAAAAAAAATACTCCCCACAGAATAACAGACATATTGCATTGTAATCCAAAAATAAAGTTCCGTTGATCTATTAGCCAAACGCCATGTTTATGTTTCACAAATTTTCAATTCATTCGGATAATTTGCTTGACCAGTACTGAGTATTTCAGTTCAATTTGTATCTGTAAATTGTACTGGATAAAAATATAAATTTTTGTTCGACAAAATGGATTTAAAGGAGTATAAATAGCTGTGAATCGGAGCGAAAGTCATGTTATTGCATTATAATGAAATTATGTTAGAGTTCATCTGTGATTGAAATTCGAAGATACACGATGGTCACGTCAATTTCATTTGGTTAAGGGTCTCTTTTTTTGTTCATTTTGCTCGCTCTTTATCTTTCGCGTGCACCAGAATTAGGTTAATGCACCAGCTCATTTCGGCTTCAAGTGCCATTTGATATGACAATCAAAAACAAAAAAAAAACGTCAACATTCTGCATTCAAAGGGACGGATGAACGAATAAAAAAAACAAAATCTGCAATTATTGCGAAACGCTCGAATGTGTTTGCAGTTTTTTTTTTCATTCAGAGCACGTCATAGAAAACTGTACAATAAAATACTGCAAAATGCCAACAATGGATATTCAAATAGAAAATTGGTGAAATGTGAAATATCCTTCACTAACCCAAATTACTTCAATTTTTGCCACCCATTTTTATCAATGCGGAATTTGCTCTCGTTTCCCACTTCGACGGCAAAAGAGCAGAAGAACGGATGTGAGGTGAGGGCTGGGGGGTCAACAGTTATACAGATATATTATATCATCAATGGATGACAATCCACAGTATAAAATATATTAATCAATGTTTATATGCACTTTCCATTGCATTTCCCTTGTTAATTGACACATAAAATAGCATTGAATGAAAATGCATTCATGAACATACCGAGTGCATTAAATGAAATATGACAAACTGAATTCAGTTCACGAATTGTGTGCTCCACATACATATATGGAAAAACCACCACATACAAAACCATAATATACATAAATGTATGCCAGAGATTTATTAAATTCTATGACAATTTGTTAATGATGCTTGCTTTTCTCTTCATTTGAAATGCTTTTTCCGCTTTGATGCTGCCGCTACATCTCATTCACTCGTTCTTTCTTCATTTCTGGCGCGCATTCTCTCTACAATTCATTGCAAATAATATATTTTCATCGACGAAAATCTAATTTGATGGATTTTCTACCGCTGCCACCACTGTTGCCGCTCTTCTATCTTGGAATATCTGTGACGACGATGACGACGACGACAACGGCGACGATGCTCTTGTTGGTGATGATGATGATGACTTATTCCATGGCATGTGTTTTGTATATGGTTCGAGAGTGCAGATTCTACTGGGACTTGTGTATGCTACTGTTGTTAGTTGCCAATTTAATTATACTTCCAGTCGCAATATCCTTTTTCAATGATGATTTGAGCACAAGATGGATTGCATTCAATTGCCTGAGTGATACTATATTTTTAATTGATATAGTTGTTAATTTTCGAACAGGTAAATTTATCATTGCAATTGAGTTGTCTATTTTCGTTCTGGCTCTCTCTTTTTTTATTCGAGAGTGTGTTTTTTTTTTGCTGTATTATGTTATTGCCTCATTTTCTGCAAATGTTCAGTCGTTGCTATAGTTTGATTGATGTGGATGCGCAAGGACCATTGCTCAACTTGTCAATGACTTCACTATGTTGTTTGTGCAATGCCATTCATTGTGCAATTTGTGGTAGTTTATTCTCTAAATGACAATGCATCAATCAAACTCTAAACGAAATTTGTCACTCGAATTCCAATTCATATCAATTTAATAAAATTTATTTTTGCCACTTTTGGCATCTCTTTCTTTCATTTTATTCATTCACTATGCACGTTGACGAAATAATATGGAAATTATAATAAAAACAACAACAACACCAACACCCAACAGGAATCATGCAACAAGATAACGCGGAACAAGTTATTTTGGATCCTAAACTAATCGCGAAAAATTACCTGAAGACGTGGTTTTTCCTAGACCTTATATCATCAATACCGTTAGATTACATATTTTTAATTTTTAATCAGGTGAGTAATGTTTAATCATCTCACGGAGGTGGCCTAACGCAGTCTCATTTCGTTAGTCCCTCTTTTTTCTAATATCACATAATATGGTTCCTGGACTTTATCAATTAGTTACCTTTAGATTCCGATTTAATACCGTTTATTTGTCTATTTCTTTACACAGTACAAAACAAAAAATCATCCGATACTATACGAAAAAAAAGCATAGTAGGCACGATTTGGTCCTAGAATTTCTCTACCAAAATTCGTATGAACCTGCGGTCGTTTTCGCATAGTATCGAATGTATATTTTTTTACTGTGTAAATTTTAAATATTTTATTTTCTGTTTTGTTCACTCTTTATCTCTTTTTCTCTTTCTTTTTTGTTTATTTTTCTCGTTATCCACAGGATTTTTCCGATTCATTTCAAATTTTACACGCTGGCCGAGCTTTACGCATTCTAAGACTAGCTAAGCTTTTATCACTGGTGAGGCTGCTTCGGCTTTCACGTTTAGTGCGATATGTTTCCCAATGGGAAGAAGTTTATGTAAGTACCCGATCTTGGATCCATTTTAAATCTTAAATTTTTGAACCAAATGTATTACATAGATGCATTTAGTTTGGAACAAAAAAATGTGTTTTTTTTTCTGCGACGATTTGTTTTTTTGTTTATTTTTTTACTGACTCTCTTTTTTAATACATTAAGCAATTTATTTTTGTCACCATATTAAAAGTATGTTATCCTTTTAAAATGACATTTTTCTTCTTAAATTAGTTTGATGATTTTTTTCAGTCCTAAATCGTCGTTAATTTTATTCAAAAAAAAAAATAAGTATTCGTCGTTGAAAACAATTGGAATTACAAAACAAACCATCTAAAAAAATCGAATATTTTACGTGCATTGATTTATCGAGAGAAAAAAAAACAGTGAAATAGTACAAATTCAATGTATCAAATCGTCATGTCTAGTATTTATTTCATCTCTTTTCGTATTTAAATTATATCATAGGAAAGTTTTTTTTTCTCCTTCATTTATTGTGTTCACTTTAGTTAAATCACAATGATTTACGTTTCAATTTTTGATCTTCACCTTATTAATTTCATGTGAAAAGATTTTCATTTTATTATTGTTTATTCATTCTCTCTCTCTCTTTCAATCTCGTTCATCCAATTATCTATAATTGATATATAACGGTTTCCAAATGATTTAAAGTCATAATAAAATTGTTCATGCTTGAATTCATTCGATTTATATCCAAAATTCTTCCATCAGAGTTGATCAACTCGAGTTTTATTGACAAAAATCAAAATGTCTACTCAAACAATTTGATTTATTTTCATTGAAAATGTTTCCGTCGGTTTTCATCAACACAGCCCCCCCTCGCGTACCACTATGGTAATATCATATGATCTGAAATGTATATACAGAAAATCAGTGTGCAAATAAAAGTTTTGCATAGGCAAATAAATGCCAAAACATACATAGTATATTTGCTTCTTGATTCTCTGGCGCCCATGTGCGCTCCCTTTTTCATTCTCTTTCTCTCCCTCTCTCTATTATGGAGAAAACAAAAGCGAAATTAAATGCAAAATGAGTCAACCTAGATGCACTAACCATTTTCCGTACGATTGCAATTTCAATGCCTAAAGGCACTTAAGCATTATCAGCTGTTCGGTGTGTGTATGCTAAATTTTGCAAGTGCACTTGTTATATTTGCTCCATATTCTCGATGACATTTATAATGCATTTCCCTCAATCGATCTCTGCTTCTGAACATTATTGCTTCTTGCAAATATTTTATTGTTTTCTTGCCATATTCTTGACTCTCTATCTCTCTCTCTCTCTCTCTCTCTCTCTCTCTCTCTCTCTCTTTCCATTCTCTATTTTCTTCTTTCTATTTTCCTCGCTATGCTCTGTTCACGTTTCGTCTCTTTGCTCTTTCGTATGTCTAACGACTAACTGAACATCGCATGCAAACACAAACACTCGAATGAGTGTGTTTGTGTCCGTTATTTTATTGATTTTCTCCCGTGAAAGAGGGTGAAAGAGCGAGAACGGAGGTAGCGAAAAGAGTGAAAGAGTGGCAGATAGGCTGTGTATGTTAATGTTATTAAAAGTGAAAATGTCAAACGGAATGCTCATTATTGAGGGTATAGCCGTTCTTGGTAACGAAAGTCCCATTTGTTTTGCATTGTATGCAACTGGATGGCAATTGGATGGTAATGCAACTAGTGGTAATTCTCTAGGCTTATGCAACGCAACAAACTTGCAATTGCAAATGTTATTGAAATGTTGTTAACATTCGATGTTTTCACGCTTAATCAATTTGGACTTGATGGTCTAATGAAGGAACAACATTACAACAAAGCAATTGTTAAAATTCATACAATTGAACAAATAGAACGAAAAATCGTAATTGAATCCACATCAAATCGATATTCATGTGGCCCTGCAGCTGAAAATGATGACAATATAAAGAAAATGCAAATAACGCAATGAAGCAGGAGAATAAAATATAAATAAATAAAAAAAAACTAACATTATTCTTTAACACACATTGAATCTGCATAGAGAAAATCGAATACGGCAACCTTGTGTGTTTTACAAGATGTTCGACATGAATTTGAACACACAGTGCAATGATATTGAAGAGAATATTTGTATTTGTTATGTAGCTATGTAGTACAGTTGTTGACTACAGTGCACTGATGCACATGGATGTGTGATATATTTATGGTATATTTACATCTGTTTGTGCATTTGAGCACATCGGAAGCTCCTAAACAAAGGCGAAAGCCTTTGCTTCTGTTTTCTCTCTGTTTCTGTTAAGCTCTCTCTCTCTCTTTCTCTTTCTCTATTTATTCGCCTTCTCTTTCTATCTCTCAGGCAAAATCATTCCTTTTCTCGTTTTCGCATTTTCACAATTCGATTCAGTACATGGCTGTGGATTTGTTATTGCAGAAAATGCCATACAGTGCAATTTTCCTTTTATGCAAATATGGAAATCGATTTTCGGTATGTGCATGCTATGGATTATGCAACACACATACAGCAGCCAATGTTTGCTCTTTCTCATTTCATATCTTACTTTTCGGTTTACACATTTATCGGTTGCTCTCACTCTACCCACTGGCACAGGCGACTTCGTTTTGAACATTTTCTATGTGTTATTGTTGTTGTTGATTTCTCTTCTTCTTCTTTTTTCGGTTAGTGAGTCATCTTTCTCATTGGACTCACCTACACCACATTGTGTGTGCTGTGGCACTCATTCATGCATAGCTACATAATAGCTAAAATGTTTCACTTTTTTCCGTTTTCGGTTATGCAAGTTCCATGTAATGACATTGTGCATATACATATACAAGTATATGTGTGCAAAAATGAAAATGTATTGCGCCAGAAAATGGTTGAGTCGCCCACGATACTCCGATTTCCCAATACGCTTCGAAACACACAATCAAACTATATGCTTCGCTGAGAGATAAATGAATCTCTATATTTTATCATGAGAGCTGCTTAGTGGTGTGTCTGTGTGCAACCCGAAAACCTATGCCATTTCCCATGTTAATGGTGACTCTCAATCATTTTTCCATTTGCCTTCTTCATCGTGAAATATTCTGTTAAAAATGTTCCATTCTTCTGTGTTTTTTGTTCACTATACATGCTTTCTTCCATAACGTTCTTTTTCTTTGGCTGGATTCTCGAACAAAACCAGGATAACAACCACACCATGGCGATAATTATATGGCAGAAACGAGCAAGGTTAATAAGCTTTTTCGATGAAAAACGAGGAGCAGAGAGAACAAAAAAATAGAAATAAAACGGTCCGTTTTTTTTCGTAATGTACAGCAAACACTGAAACGTGAACGATGCACAGAATGAACGAAAGGGAAAGAGTGTAAAGAGCAGAAAATTCAAGAGAATAAATTGAACTTATTGACTATTATTTCATTGCAGTGTGAAAATATCAAATGCTTTCAATGTACTCTCCGACAATCTTTCAACAGTGTACAATTTGAACAGCGCATTTGCCATTACGTTTCGCTAGGTTAAATCTCTTATTGCGCTATTGTCGTATTTTCGACGTTATGCATATATGCATTGGACGATAGATGTTCATCAGATCGGTTTGTGTTTGTAATACATGAATTTCCCCGCTCTCTCCTCTTCTATATTTCATTTCAATCTCTTTACGTCTAACTTTACATTACCGTTAAATTATATTTCACCCTGTTTAACTTGTTATAATATTTTGTCGATTTTTGTTATCGTTTTTTTTTTCGTTGATGAGGAAACAATTGTATTTTTCGATTTTTCGTATTTTCATGTGTATTTATCTGTTTATTCGTAATAGGTATATTACTTGATTCTTACGTATAGATTTAAAGTATATGTTGTACGTGGTAAATTAAACTTGAATTTTTTTATGCACATAAGCAAAATCAATCTTTCTCCCTCTCTTCTTTTTCGCTCTCCATTTCAACTTTGTTCCGTATTGTTCAATTTCTTGAAAATGTATAGATACGCGAAATTCTCAGGTGTTGGTTGTTCGGCATTGAATGGCCAAAAAAACTAGTTATCGAGCCAATTTGATAAAAAAAATTCGTTAATGGCTTCAAAAGCAAAAATAAAATTCCGAATTACTTTTATATTGACTCTCTAATAGAATTATTATAAAGTCAATGGAATTAAAAAAAAAAAGAGAAAATCAAGTCGAAACGTGACCCAATTCGTCGAGGTTTTTTTATATCATTTTTCATAAACATCAATTGCTTTCGATTATGGATCAAATAATTTTGTTTTTACGATTTAAAAAATGGGAAATTTGGTGGCGGCAATCAAAATGTCATCACTATCATAACGTTTATGTTGAGAATAAAATTTCGAAAAGGGGAAAAGAAATTATGACCACTATAAAATTGAACGATAAATACATGTAGTAGCAGTGACTGATATTTATGCTTTTGCTGTTGCTGGTGATGGTACTGCTGCTGTATGCATGCATCAAATACCAATAACACGCGGCTGGAGGTTGAGTGCGTTTGGCATTGTTCCGAAACCATAAACACAACATCCGTGATGTGTCGCGTGTGTGAGACAACGCTTTATTTATAGTATATTTTCCAGAATTGCGTGAATTTGTAACTATTATTTAAAAATTGTACTCAGTTTGGTGTGCATAAATTGATAACTCTCCCACAATTCCGATGTACTCTAGCAACAAAAAATGCATCCCGAAATGGCAAAAAAAAATGTTTGTTTTTTTTTCGAATGAGAAAAAAAGGGTTACAAAAATGTGGCCAGATTTTGGTTAAATTCCTTTGAAATTTCTAACAGGAATAATCCTTTCGTTGGAATTCACACAAGCAAACAAAAAAAAGGATGCAAAATATTTGTTCATATAATCCTGTCCCAAAATGAATGCGAATGATTTAGTCCCATTCATATGCGGCATTTTACCTGAAATCAAACAAATAAAACCAAAATTACAGATACAACCCATACATAAATAAATGAAATAATTTGAACTTTTTATTCTTATTTTTGTTTGTGTTTTTAAAACCATTCCTCTTCACATAATTTTTTTCAGAGTATACATTTCCATTTTATCACTTATTTATCGAGTACATGGCTTGATTGCGAATATTTCCATTTTCCATATTCATTTTTAACTTATTTAAAATGTTATTTATTCCATATATTGCTTTGTTGTTGGTTATTTTGTTTTTGGTTTTTTGTTTTACTCTGTTCGGTTTTCTTCATTGTGTGGTTTTAAAGTGATTTTTCAGCACATAGACAAATATTAACACACACATATATATATATACACACAATATATATTTATTTTTTCATACATCCAAAAGGACAAAGCCGTTTTTCATTTTTCTACTATGTCTAATCAACGAACACCACTGTGGAATTGATGAAAATTTCAGGGCATTGTGTGCTACACACACACACACATACATATATATGCACATGCACATTGTCGTTTATTCATATGAGCGCGAACGCGATCCTTCGTAGTAGTCGTCATCATCATCATCATCATCATTTTCCAGTATATTGGTCTTTAAACCGTTAAAATATTCAAACGTGGCCCGAATTCAACGTATCCAAATTTACGTCACACCATTTGAAAATCATGCAAAATTTGAATATAGCATGGGCAACAGCAAACATCGCAAAATCTAAACAAATACATTGAGAATACAACATGCAAATGGCAAATACCCAGAAAATAAAGAAGGGAAAAACCCATTTCATTGGCATTCAATTGTTCATCAGATGTTAACATTGGACTTGAAAAGAATAAATGCACGTATATATCCTTGTTTTGCCACTTTGTTTTCGTGACACATTCATATTGTTGGAATGACTTCATTAAAAACAGAGGAATAATAGCAAATCACATAAATCAAGTAGCACGAACAGACGAACACACATTCTTTTTGCATACATTTATTTTATTTACACGTAAACATTCTACGGACGACTTTAGGGATTCATGGCCTCTAATATACAAAACTCACATACATACATTGCATACACAATCATCGAACAAGCGAATGCAATGGAATTTGTTCTTTTTTAATTCGAAGGCATTTATTACCTAAAATAAATATTGTGTATGTACCAGAACAGTGAATTGTGTTGTTTTTGTTTGATGATATCATATCGAATTTAGTTGAAAGATTCATTCCATATATAACTGCAAAGTCCTTCCATGCAAAGTCATTTCAACACAATGATCGTCAAACATCAATAAATTAATCAGTCAATCAGTCAGCGTCTCCAAGATAGATTTTACATTATCTACATGAATAGTGAACAACTATCCGAAATAATGTTGCGTTTTATTTATCACTAATTGGCCATTGGAACATGTCATCGACATCATAACAATTCCATACGGCTTTTTTTCATACAAAAATTAAACATTAATGGTTTTTCTTGATTTACACGAAATTGGAAATGGTTTTGGTTTTTCGTTTTCTTTCATCCGAATAGAGACATTCAATAGATAGAAAAAAGAAATGAATCGATTCGATAAAATGGAAACTAGTCAGTGTTACACAATTGAAATGATGACAATGAAAACTATTAGTGTCCAACTAAAAATCTCTTCTATCTTTTACTACTCATCCTATCAAACAATAACAGAATTAACAAAAATATATATACATATATACTAGCTATAGATATATTTATATATCAATTATTATATTCAACAAACAGCCAAAATTCAAACTATACCTCATAAATACACATACAATAATAAATCTAGCTAAAATTAAATATAATCCAAAATATGCATTCAAAAATACATATAAAACATACCACATACCCGTACGTACGTTTTAGATTCTACAAAATCTACAAAAAAAAAGTGCAGATCGCCGAGGACGAAGACATAGAAATGAAAATGAAAAAGACGGTTACTTTAAGAACAATCTTATCTTTAAGGTAAACTTTTCTCCTGTGTACGCAGTTAAAAAAACCGCTTCTTATTCTCATTATTTCGTTGACTTTCTGTTTTCTGTTTAATTGTTTTTTTTTTCGTTAATTTAATACAAAAGAAAAAAAAATATTTTCGTTTAAAACTAAAAGTAATGGATTATTAAATTAAAATACAAATATTCTACCGCTGTTGCTGCTTCCAATGCTTGCTGATCATTTATTCTAACTCGTTTCATATTTTGATCATTCGTTAGATAATTCTTCTTATGTTTTGCTTCTTCTCATTTTATTTTATTTCTCTATCTCTCTCTCTATATATATATATTCTCTTCTTATTTAACTCTCTTTATATCTCTCAGTCTCTTTTTAAGTTTCATTTACGTGTATTGTGTACTGTTTGTAAATATAATCATCATGAAAAAAAAACATAGGAACATCCTTACACATTTTGACTTTTTTCGTTACTCTTCCATCTTCTAAACGCCATACATAATAAGAATAAAAACGGATACACATAAATATTCATTGTATCTATATATATATAATACTTGGTATACGGCGAGGTGGTTTGATGATGCAACCCACGTAGTCATAGAGTTTTGAATAATGCCTGCCAGTCTCGCTAAATTCTATATCTATCTAATTTTCAGAAACAACATCATCATCATCATCATCTGAGAAATCCATTTCTCTCTCACACACACTCTCTGACTCTCTTTCATTCTCTATGTCATCATATGTACGCATCCCCCCATTTTTTTTATTGCAAGGATTTATTGCTTTGTCTTTCGTTTAATTACAAATATATTTTTATTCGTTTTGTGAGATATCGCAGTGCTTTCTCGACCCATTCTTTTTTTTTCGTTTCACTCTCTATTACTGCGAATATTATTGCAAACATTTCCGTTGTCTACCATTTCCAACCATGTTCGTTCTGTGTGCCACTGCTTCCGTTTCATTTTGTTTATGGCATTTTGGTTTATTTTCCGTTTTTTTCCTCTCTTCATCTCTGTGTATTACTTTCAAACGAATTAGAATTTCGTTTTTGTTCCATGCGTATCCTATTTTCCCGCTATCATTCGCATATAACAAGAAAAAAACTTACCAAGCCAAATAAAAAAAACACCATTTTTCGTCAACAAAAAATGCATTGTTTTTGTTCAAAGATTTTTCATCATATAAAATTAGATTCACACTTTTCAATTACTGCTTCTCAAACTTCTCTTGTTCTCTTTTTTCCCTTTTTAAACATGTATTTTGCAAAAATGATGTAAACATTTATTCTTCGCATACAAAATATATCTTAATCTCGCCCTCTCTCTCTCTCTTTCTTACACACACATACGCTCAAACTTGAATCTCATCTAAAACTAGAGGAAAGTTGATAAAAAAGGATAGGAAACTTTTATATCTTCCAAATTATCGAAATAAATCTAGCAAATTTAGAACTTCCGCATTGGAGGCAATGCGATTCATTTTTCATTTGCTTATGCAAAATGTGATCGCTGAATAAAAACCACACTGTAAAAATAAAGAAAACATGACAAACCAATACGATTTTATTTCAATGATAATATTCGTATTTTCTTTTCCGTTGTTCCATTTCATTTGGTTTGTCGTTTTATTTCAATATTCTCATATTTTCTAATTTGTTTTCGATCATTTTCGTTTTATTTTTACTTATTGAAATTAATTTGAGTTGTTGTTGTTTCATTTAATTTTTCGTTTTCGTTGATTCGGTTTGTTCTTTCAAATGAATTAGTTCTGTTCGTCCATTGAATGCGATTATTGGGTAGAACTTTAGATTATCGCTCGATAGATAGCTGCACGCCGCAATAAAATTGTATTTACCTTATATGTCACAATAGTATATTATTTATTAAAAATAGTAGAATTGATATAACACACCACAAGAATACAAACAAGAAAATCAATGTTTTTGTGAGATACAATGTGTTTCCATATATGGTTAATGAAACAAATTAAATAATGGAACATATGCCACACAAATGATAAAATGACGATTCAAAACGATTAACAAATGTACACATTTTGATGCATTTAATAATTTCCACACAAAAATATTGACGAAAAAAAAAAACCAAACATTGTTTATCATAGTTTCAACGGAACAGCATATAAATGATTTATGCAAAATAAATTCAATAATATTTTGAATGACTCACATTTTTGATATTCTCAATTTTAATGAGATATCATTTCTTAGCAAATTAATGTGTATGGATTTTTGTTTTATATATTATATAGTTTTTATTTAACTTATTGCCGAATACGGAATGAAATTACTTTGAAATGAACTATGGATGCATATACATATATTTTTTTATGATCATATAGCTGAATTCAAAATTTTCCGAATCACAATTATTAGTGTTTATTTTGAACCGGAAAAAAACAACAACTATAACCATATTACATATGGTCGCATGTCAAATTAAAAGTGAATTTTACAAGTTTTGCTTTTTCGTTTAGATAAAATTGGCCATTGAATCCAATATGTGTTGTGGGGCAAAATGTTTTGAACAAATTTCAATTCAAAAATATATGTTACACTAAATTGACCGTGGAAAATACATTTCAAATTTTAATGTGGTTGGAAAATTGAATCTGCATAGTTAATTGTATTTCATAATGTTTTAGCATCGAGCATCCAAATCAGTCTCTTCCAAAACACAAAACCAAAAAAACAACAACAACTGAATCCAATTCGAATTAAATGCTAATAGTTACAATAACGATTATTCAGACTCAGATGGGATTTTCATATTTTGGCCACCCCGAGTATAGAATTATTAATGAAAATATTGGATACATGAACCAATTTGGAACGAATACATATACACAGACACCCCCACATACACAAAAACACACACCCACAAACCCCCACATTGAGCCCACAGTGTGAGCGTAGTGATGAAGAAATGGAGCCGTGCTCAATTTTTCGTTGTTGTTAATTTTATTGTTGTTGATTACTTTTCACAATATAATCTCTCTGATGTTTGAAAATGCTTTTTTGGAGTCTCCATTTCTCTAGTAAAAATGCTAGCCGATTTTCGTTTTTCTATCTAATTTGCTACATAGGATTGATTATATTAGTAATTATTTACGTATGTATATATATGCAGATCGAAACTATATACAATTATAGTACATATGGTAACTTATATCTGTGTGTTTGTCCATACAGGAGCGTTAAAGACGTTACATTCTTGTTTTATTTGTGTTTTTTTTTTGTACTAGTTTTTGGCTATAAAACCAATGTGAAGGATAATATATCTATCGCTCTCACAAATACACGCAAAATTCAAAAACGAAATTAATTTATTCATGCGCACACACTCTGTTATAAAATCAGCGATGCTGTTTTTAAATTTTTGTTTTTTCATATATATATACATATTGAATCAAAAAAAATTGTTTTCTCATTTTTGTTGTATGTATTTTTTTGCTTCTGTTCTGTTTTTTTTTCTATCTATTTTTCTCTCTTGATCCTGTGATTCGAATTTAATGTTCGTTCATGTTTTAATGCTGATGCGATGGTGCAGTTTTTGAATATGGCGTCGGTGTTTATGCGGATATTTAATTTAATTTGTATGATGCTGTTAATTGGCCATTGGAGTGGATGTTTGCAGTTTCTGGTGCCGATGTTACAAGGTTTTCCATCGAACTCGTGGGTTGCCATCAATGAGCTACAGGTAAAAAAAATCTCAAGCAATATCATTAATATGAAATGTTAGCTTGTAACCTCGTTTAAATTACATTCCCATGTCATAAGATATAAATTGAATTTATGTTCGATAATTTATTTATTTTTATTTTTTTGTATTTTTCTTACCCATCCTAACTCGCGCTATACCATCATCAACCATCTCGCCACTGTCACACATACAGGAAACATACTGGCTTGAGCAATATTCTTGGGCCTTGTTCAAAGCGATGTCACACATGTTATGTATTGGTTATGGCAGGTTTGTTCGCTCACCTCTAAAACTACTTAAATTAGCCATTTTATTTTTTTCACGTTGATTAACACCGATTTGATGATCAAAGTTTAAACTCGGTAAAATTTAAAAGCGATTACGGATACAAATTTATCATTTATATCACAATGACGGCATTGTCACCGTGGTTGCTACTTTTTTTAAATTAACATCTCTGTTTCCGTTAATATTCCACAGATTTCCGCCACAATCATTAACTGACATGTGGCTTACGATGCTGTCTATGATATCAGGTGCTACGTGCTATGCACTTTTTCTAGGTCATGCGACAAATTTAATTCAAAGTTTAGATTCGAGCCGACGACAATATCGTGAACGGGTATGTTAATCGAAAAAAAACACACATCGAAAAAAAATCGTCGTTAATTACACAAAGCCACTTAGTGGCTGTGTGGCATATTCATTTTTTCCTCTCTCTCCTATATATCTATCGATCTTCTGTCGTTATTATCCTTTATCGAACTAACTAACTAATTCAATCTATCCATTGCATATCACATCATTAACGTGGCGGTTTTGATAGGTGAAACAAGTCGAAGAATATATGGCCTACAGAAAATTACCACGTGATATGAGGCAAAGAATCACGGAATATTTCGAACACAGATACCAGGGAAAATTCTTCGACGAAGATTGTATATTAGGCGAATTAAGCGAAAAACTGCGAGAGGACGTTATCAATTACAATTGCAGGTAAATGCGACAGAGTTTGAATGGGGAATTACACATTTAGATACGGCAGAGAATGGTTGCATGACAAAAAAAAACCATTATCAACACCAATGAGAGAGATATTTAATATGTGGTTATATTTGCAGGTCTCTTGTAGCATCGGTGCCTTTTTTTGCTAACGCAGATCAAAATTTCGTGTCTGACGTTGTAACGAAATTAAAATATGAAGTATTTCAACCGAGCGATATTATTATCAAAGAGGGCACAATCGGTACAAAAATGTATTTTATTCAAGAAGGCGTTGTCGATATCGTAATGGCGAACGGGGAGGTAAAATCCTTTTCTCCTTTTCTCTCAATTTGTGTGTTTTTTGCGGCTGGCGTATTACATACTGTATCTTGATGGAAATTTCATTCAATTCTTTTCATTTTTGAATTAGGTGGCAACGTCACTGTCGGATGGCTCATATTTTGGCGAAATTTGCTTGTTGACCAATGCACGTCGAGTGGCTAGCGTACGAGCCGAAACATACTGCAATCTGTTTAGTTTAAGCGTTGATCACTTTAATGCCGTTTTAGATCAATATCCACTTATGCGTAAAACCATGGAAACTGTAGCTGCTGAAAGGTTGGCCGATATTTTGAACATTCATTTTTTTTATTTCTCGCCCATTGACAATCATAATATGATTCGTTCGTTTCGTTGTAACATAATAGATTGAATAAAATTGGTAAAAATCCCAATTTGATGTCACAAAAAGATGATGAGATCAGCAATCCAGATGAGTCGGCCATAAATGCAGTGGTAAATGCATTACTTTTTAATTATTATTGATTGTTTTACGATTATTTTCCGATTACTTATCGATTATTTTAAATTTTATTCTTTTCTTTTGTGATTCTCCCCTTAGGTAAATGCATTGGCAGCCGTTGAAGCAAAAGATGAAAAGTAAGTGTTCAAAAATATAAAATCAATCATATTAAATTAATTTTAATATTATTTTCAATTTGATCAATTGCAGAGATGAAAGCATTACGGATTTGAGATCATCCGAGCAATGTCTTACGCACATGAAGGAGCATTTGAAAAAGAATTTGCCCCGGCCAAAAAGCGGCGAATTTCGTGCATTATTTGAAGGAAATACCCCATGACGTTCCAGCAGTTAGTGATAGAGACACTACTACAGTTAACATGACTTAGGCAAAGAACTATTTAAAAGAAAATTAAAATTAAAAATTAAAAAAAACCAAATCCAAAACAAAAAAAGAGGATCATTACCTATAATGTATAGAAAACAATTTAACCAGATGAACAACAAAAAAAAGTAAAAATAAAATGCAAAAAATAATAATATATATATATACCTAGATTGCAAATACAAAAAAAAGAGCTGTTCGAGCGAACCGAATGAAAAATCGTAGTAAAAAACAAAGTTTAAATAATTTTAACATCTCAAATGAATACAAACCAATTATACACACAAAGTAAAATCAAAACAGAGCTACAGTTTGTAAATCAATTAAATTAAAGCAGAAGAAGAAGAGAAAAAGAAATAAATGATAACTATCTAATGCACATTCGGTTTTCTTTTCCACCACTAGGGAATGACTATGATTCACATTCACATGTTCGATTTGCTTGATACTTTATTAGTTTTTATTATTATTATTATTTTTGAAAATATACAAAGAAAAAATCAAGTTCAAGAATAAACTTATTACAACACATGTCTGGAGTAAAATTTAAAGAAACAGAAAAATAAAATTGAGAACTCTTATATTAGATTCAAGAAATTGATACACATAAAGCAAAAAAAAATAGATTCAATATGCAAGACACGCTGCATTAGCGTCCTCAGATTGAAACGTGTCTATTTTGTTCGAAAATATAGAGAAAAAAAAAACCAACATAATATGTTAATTCTGTTTTGGTTAAGCTGAAACAGACACTATATGAACGGTTCACTTGTCGATGTTTTCGATTATTTATTGTATTTTTTGCTTCGCTTATTTGAATTTTGTTTCTTGTTGGCTTTTGTGTTTCCTGCGCTTTTAAGCGTCTAAGCAATTCTGATTCGATCCAGCAATTTTTTTCTCCATGGCCAATGGATCAAGATCTGCAAACAAATCTATCCAGTTTATTCCTGACGTTTTCTTATTATCATTGGTCATCTTTGATTTATTGTTTACACCTTTTTTACTCGATTCCGATGAGACTGTTGAACTATGCATTTTTTTCAAAAAATCAAACGTTAAAATATTCGATGATGATGATGATTGTGCAGTGGCAGTGGCAGACGAAGTACTTGGTTTGCAATTATTTGCAGCATTGCTGAATATGTCTAATAAGCAATCAGTTTCGCTTGATTCATTTGTTGATAAATCTAGTAAATCAAATATGGTCGAATCATCGACACTGGCTTTTGTTCCACCTGTTGCGTTTTCATTTGTATCGGATTTTGGTACTATGGACTCTTTGGTTGCTTTCTTTTCAGATTTTTCAGCATTTGATGTTGCTGGGGTTGAATCGCCCTTCGTCGATTTTATATCGTCTTCAAAATCTTCCTACAAATCATATGAAATATTTGTGTAAATGTAAGTATGTATGTCGTTCGTAAATTATTGTTAAATACCTTGAAGAATAACATTTGATCGAAATCGATTGGTGCAATTTCTTTTGATTCGGCCGATGGATTGCTGTCATTAACTACTGGAACTTGTGTTAAATCCTTTAAAATGGTGAAATTATATTGTGGTTTTTCGTCGAGAATTTTTAAGGCCGCTTGAAATGTGTAGGATGTTTTCGTGGCAGAATCGAGTAACGCTGCTTGATATGCGACCAAAACATGTGAAAACATATTGCAACGTGCAGCCGCAAGCAAATCGATCTTAGATAACGAATCGGATAAAAAGAAAGAACAAAGTAATAAATTGAATAAAGACGAAAATGTAAATTTGATTGAAATAAATGCGAACACAAACCTTTTGCAAACAGTCCAGTGTCATGGTGTCGAATTTTGTTTTGGCCGTTCTTACATACATTTGTGCATTACGAAATTTATCCAGACCACGTCCCTTGTCCGGATCCAATTGTGCACTGGCTGCTTTCATCCAACCCAATGCGGCACGATATTCGGTGCGTTCACGTTCCATTGCTTGGACGGTATTGTATGTATCTTTAATCGCTTGACCATTAAAAGTTTCGATTTCATGTTGTAATCGTACCAATGGTGCACGAATTTTCATATGTTGTTGTCCACAATAGGAAATCGATTTTCCGGTACAACACATGTGTTTACTTGTTGTTGTGCTATGTTTACCCGATTCCTTTAGGAAAACGCCCAACGCATTTTCTTCTTGTGCTAAAATGCAAATTTTCTCTTGATAATTATCGAGTATGCGTTTGAGTTGCTGACAACTATCGCCAATCGATTTAAGCAAATCAATTTTTGAATCGAGCTCTGCGTCCGATGACACAATACATTCATCTTCTTTGCTGCCTAATTTACGTTGAACGGCTTTTTTTGTCACCCAAAACTGATGTTGCAGATCTGGCTTTAACATTTTTCACCAAATTCGAAAACGACATACACTATTTGCACTATTATCAATTTATTTTAGAAAAAGACACAACCAATGTCTAGCTACAGACAAAAAGACAAAGAAGAACTTATTCAAGTTAGTCTTGAGCAAAGATACTACACAAATTCAATAAAACATACCGCCGACAATAAAAGAAATCCGTGTATTAAAAGTAATTATCGTTTAGCACAGCCAGAATTCTAGACTGAATGAAAAAAAAATAATAAAGCTGCCAAATCTATCGATTATTTCTGTTTTCGGATCTTATGTTGCTGGTATTTCTTTTGCATCTATATGGAATCAATTTCAATATGTGTACTTTTTTATGCAGTTTACATGACATTTGTGATAAAACTGCACATGCGCATTATTTCACCTCTCCATAGGTTACGTACATCAACTCAACTACGTATGGTTACTACATAAGACAGTGCTGATGTTTCACACGCTTGCAACTCACACAGACATTTACACGGTTCATGTGAATGGAAATATCCCTGCGGTGTGCGTACATGTTTCAAGTACTATTTGGATTTTTAAATGAATGAAATGCGGCGTATGTTTTTTCTTTTTACATTTCTTTGTGCATTTTGACTGAAAATTAATCACGAGAGCAGAGGTTTAACGGATATGGTGACTTGGTATCGCAAGGCATCATGGATATTTATCGGGATTTTTCTATTGAAATTGTCTCCCAGTAGCAACGGAAATAAGCAGTGTCTATCTTCTTTCTCTCATTCCAATTTCATGAAAATGTTTTTAGATGCAATCACAACATAATTAGAATCATATAGTCATGTATTTATTTATTCAATCGGCATTTAGTTTCTTCGCTATATATACTTTTTTTGTGGAAAATTAATATTTTCAACACGTCGCAATTCCCGGTCAACGAAAAACAAAAATTATTCATTTCGATGTGCGTTAAGTGTGTTTTGGATTTCTTGAGAATTCATGCATACATCTCTCTATATTAATTCTTTTTTTTTCTTGTTTTTGAATATGCTAAGCATTCGATTGAAAGCAAATCAAATCGTACATGGATATTGCTTCCGCTCAGGCCTGTGACTGTGCCAAGTATCTTGCATTTATACCACACAATGAAATCACACTTCGAAATCGAAATAATTAAAATGTTGCTGTTGCTTTTTTTAATTCTTTCTTTTTCTTTGTGTAAGTTCTGCCATCATTCCATCGGGCAGGTACATTTAAGAATATATCACCTCATTCAAGCAGTGACAGCAAAGCAGCAAAGCAGCATAGAAAGCAAACGATAAAAGAAAGAAAGAAAATAAAATGAAAGAAGATAACAGACGAATAATTTTTATTATATTCAAAGTGCATGCTTTGCATACATAATGTCATATGGGTATTCTTAAATCTGCCAAACTATAAATGAATCTCAATCAGAATAGAATAATGAATGGTTTGACAAAGTCGAACGAAGGGCGGAGTAAATGTACACTCATCATGTTGCTTCCATGGTCGTTTCAAGTTACTTATGATTTGCAGTCAGGTACATTAATAGCTGGCTCAAACATACAAATAACCACCAAAAATGGTATGGCATCTATGTATCGGTGTGGCAATTTGGTTTGTCGTTCGGAATTTAAACACGATTCTTTTTATACCGACTTCTAACTGTATTCACACACACACGCGCGCGCTCATTCAGTGTCTTTTTTTGTGGTTCAATGGCAGTCACATCACCATATATTGTCAATTGGTGGCTTTCCTTCCTTTTTCTCTCTCGTTCTATTGACACTTGTTGCTATCATCTCTCACTACAAACAATAGACTCTTCCAGCAATTCATTCCGAATAACCAAATCAATCTTTTTTGTTCTTGACTTTCTTAATTTCAGTATGATCGTAACCGCTGCAGTGACAACTACTTCTTGACTCTTTAGCTGTAAACCTATCTGGAATTTTCTTAAAACTCTTTCCGTGACTGGTACAGTTTTACAGTGATTTTTTTAAAAATGTTATATCATTGTTTATTCTAAAAAAATTGATTCCCGATTGCAACGATTATTGACCGTTCCATTGTAGAACAAATTATTGCATAGAATTGGCAAGATGTCGGCATAGCTGAAATAAAAAGTACATGAAGAGCGGCTATGCTACATCCAGTCAGTTTATATGTAATTTATTACACAACTTATATTACATTCAAGTGATCTTTTGTTCGTCATTCCATTCAGTCGAGTTATTGAAGTCAGGTAATAATTTGCAAGTTTTCGTTTTTTTATTCAAAAATTCTTTCTTTACTCATTTGAACATGACCTGTTTGCAAGGTATTCTAATGTTCATTCATTTTTTTTAAATAGTAAGAGCAAAGAATTTTACCGAATTTTTGTGTTACTAAGTTTCTGAAAAATAAAATATCACACATGGAAATGGCATATAAATTCAATAAAATTTATTCTTCAAAAAAAAAAAAATTATAATATTCGTTGGTTACTTCTGATTACCTATTTTGATCACGTATTTGAGTTGTTTTTTTGTGGACAATACACTTTTATAGAATTCACGAACCATTTATCATCACAACGATGAAATGAAAAGAACTTTGAATTAAATATATGTACACGACATTGATATTGGCACACAACTTAAACAATAGAATAAGGAATCACACAAGCTTTTCGAATAAAATTGAAACATAAATACGTATGTCTATCGGTGACTTTCAGTCAGTTATTTGGGAGTGTTGTATTCAATATCATTTAGTGAAAAGAAATGACTTTAGCCGAATAAATACATTGTGGTCGTTGAAAAATGTGAGCTGGATACATAGATAAAACTTTAAAAGTAAAACTTATCGCAAAGTTATGTACATGAATCTGACTTTTAATACAATTGATTGTGCTTTCCAGCGACATTTCCAAACGGTTTGTTACTTTGCTGTGGCTTTTTCAACTAAGTTTTACACTCCCAGTGTCGAAAGCATTCAATTGTATTCATTTCGTTAGCTACGTACAGATGAAGAGTAGAAAACTTCAAATAGTCCATTTTATAGAGTCTGCAAAAATCTAATATCATACACAATCATTGACAAAAAATACAAATAAAATATTTATTTTGAAAAATCGCTGAAAATTTATTCTGTATATTTTTTTTTTCATCGAATAGAATCTTTTTCATGATTAATTTTACGGATGTATATTCAAAATGCCAGTGAGTTCGATTTTTTTTAAATCATCTCATTCAACTCTACCTGAAGTCTCCAACTCGAAGTGTACCTCGAAGTTGAAAAAAAAAAATTCATGGGTCAATATTCAACTTGCCGCTAGGCTTCACTTACACGGAAACTATTTATAGTCTCCACGTTTTTATAGTCCTAATCAAGTCTACCTTTAGAATAACATATTTTTTACCTTGCTCTTTTCTTAATTTATCCATTTTTTATATGTAGCTTTAAATTAATAGTTCACCTTCATGAGATGGACTGTCCGCCGTACACAGTGTCTGGCTGGATATGGATTGGCGGTGGTTGCTTTCGTTCAAATGGCTGTCATGTGTCATGTTGGACAGAATCTTTTGGATAGAGTATATGACAAATAAATGTTGAATATAAATATAAAATTTTATTCTGCTTTTGATGTCATAGAACCACCGTTTATTCAGAGTTTTACAGGGAATTAAATGTTACCTTTTACCAAACGAAGATCAAGGGTATGGGCGTCAACTGATTCTCCGACTTCAGAATGAGGTCTCTTTCACTATCCATTCGAACAAACTCAATTTTGAAACTTTAAAAATTGTATGATTTTTACTCTAGTTCTGTATCAATTTTTATTTGAATTTTCTGCTTAGAGTTCTTTTCAAGAATGTACGATTTACAATCCATATGAATATTTGGAAGGGAATGAATCAAAACATACCACTCACCACATCAAAGGTTATAATTAAAGTTCAAATATTTATTGTTGTTGTTTTATTTTAAATGCTTTCAATTTCACTGACGTAGTATTTGTTACAATAAAATGCTTATAATAAAAATTGAGGAGTCAGTCCGAATAAAAACTTGTGATAAGCGGTAAATATAGCTGCATCTCTAAAAACAGATGATATAAGTGTAAAATAAATTAGAAATGTAATTCATTAAGGTGATGGAGATGGATTTTTGTTATACTTGTAATTTGTTGACAAATGCATGAGTTTTTTCTGAATTGCCGGTGCCAAGTACGGGTAAAACGTTCGAATATGCGTAACGTAACCAAATACAAGCGGAAATACAACATGAATCATGTTGATTTTTTCCAATGGTATCCATTTCAAAAATGTTTTGATTTGTTCATAATAATGTGTCCAATAAATTTCAATGATTGTTATGACGGTATGAGAGAAAATGGATTGATCCGGATATAGATAGAAAACTAGACCAGACATCAAAGATGCTAATTGATTATCTTTCTTTGACGTTTCTTCACACAAATAGATATTACGACGACTACGCCAGCAATAGATAAACTGAAACATTCTCAAATCATTCAGTGTCATTAGAATATTTTTTATAAATTTCAAATAAAGATTTCATTGAATATTTGTTACTAACTCTGTAGACACCAACGTATCCAACCAAAAATAATACCAAATTCCAGTTTAATTGTTTGAAAAATACATTGAAAATTATCAATGGATTCCGTAGTATGCGGCTATAATTGTAGATAAGGTGTCGAGCAATTTCCAAACCAACACCAAATTTGAAAAACTTTTTGATACCATTAAAAATGAATGTGTCACAGCTATCTTCGTGTGCACAACACTTAATTTGTGAACGAACAATGGGCGATATTTTATCCATTACCGCACTCTCTTCATAGAATTCATGGTATTCGGTTTTCGATTTTAACGGTTGTGTCAACCAATAAAATCGACCGGTATGATTTTCACGTAGACCATGCATTAATGTTGCATTTAATGCCATAAATGCAATTGTTATAGCCAGTCGAGAGTTACGTAACAATTTGAATATGTAAAAATCTCCACGTGTGATTGATACTTGAAATGCCTGCGAATAAATAATTACGTATCACACAACATTTTGACAGATGCCTACTTAACGCCAAACAACGGACAAAATATCTGTAATATAAGTCAACGCATGTTTGCTATGCAGTGAGATGAACTAATCTCACATCGACAAGTCATGCAGACAAACTGTACTGAACTATTAGTAATAACAACAAAATCCAGGAACCTCTCTCTGGTTCCCGTAAAAAATGTGTATATGAATAAATCACAGACAGTCTTTCAGAGTTACATTGATATTCCACTCTGCGAAGTGGATCCTCATTGAGGAGCAAAATATTGAAAGTAAAAATAAATTGCTCCTCCGGTACCTCACATATATTTCTCTGATAAACAGTCTCTGAAATAATTATATTACGTACAACAGTAGATAGACCATGAGCATAATGGTGTTTGGCACGTTCACTAATTATCCATGAACTGATGAATGCACCCAACCCAGCTGGAAATCGATTAAAAATTTAAATTAGCATCTTGACTTTTATATTTTTTATTTTCACTTGCCCGGAACCGCCAATACTGTATAATAGTAAAAAACTCCACATATTCTTCTACAAAGAACAAATACAATAATTCAATTGGATTTTAATCAAAAGGATGATTTTATTCAAACTGAAAATTACCTAAATAAACAAATTGACGATAATCCCAAACCACTAACAAGCCAAGCACCGAAGAAAAAATCGACAAAAATGCGGAAACTTTGCATAAAAACGTCCTTGTTCAAATTTCTAATTTTCATGATGATTGGAATCTAAAGTAATTGAATAAAATTAACCACGTTTGGTCGATCAAAGAAAGATTTTTTTTTTACCAAAGCCAACGGTAGAACGAATTTTACGCAACTGAGAATTGTCCCGGTGAAATTCCAAATCGTTGATTCCCAGCAATTTTTACCGATGTGAATTACTTCATCGCAACGAAGATGCTTGGCAGCTGGATAAAAGTATTTTGAGTGCGTTGTCATTTTTACAGCTCTGAAAGTTGTTTTCTCAAGCTCAATCAAAACATTTCTATGTCATTTGCAAAGGAAAAAATCACCACAAAAAATAAATAATAATATGCCATTGAATTGCAAATTTGAAAACTGAGACAAGAAAGAAACTATGTTTTGCAATTGCATTTGATTGAGTGAAAAAAAAAGAAATTGTTTTTATGAATAAAAATGCACACTATAAATAACCAATGTTGAACTTATTCTCTTTGTTGACTCAGCTCATATATGCAAACAGAATTCTTTTTTGTCATATATTCACAAAATGCACTGATACGTTCTCTTGTTAAATGTGAATTTTAAAATTTCTGATATGTTCATGAGTTGACTTTTTTCCGTTCAAATGTTATGGTGACTATTCACATGAATCGGTTCGAGTGGCACTATTGTCCGTGTCCGTAACATTAACTTTAAACCATATATGGGGCACAGGGGGTGTAAGCTCGGATAACCCCCCTTAAATCGTCTGAGCTACCTCCCGACGGCAGCCGAAAATTCTTTTGATTTGCTAGGCATTTTCGCTCGAAAAGTGGAGACCTTTTTTGCTCTTCAAGTTTTTGAGGCGGAGAGAAATCTTTAAATTTGATAGAGTTTTTTGCGACAAAAAATCTTTTGATTTTCTATGGTTTTTTGGGTGGCTGCTGGACTCCCCCCTCCCAAATTTTTTCCGTTCTTATGTATGCTTCGAGAGTCGAGCGCTATCCATATAAATACATTGTGACGTCACACATCTTACACAGAAACGACATCTTTGTAAAACAGACTAACTACAATGTAAAAGTATAGCGAGAGGGGAAGGGAGTAAATAAAAAGGGGAAACAGATACGTTTGATTAACATTGTAGTTAGTCGGTTATTAATAGATGGCGTTTATATAGTGTGCCCTTATTGCGCTTGACTCTCGGTATGCTTCAAACTGAATTATAAACCGCAAAGTTAATTACAATTCATATATTTCGTTGTACGGTTGACCCTGTGTTTGGGTCAAGTTTTTATGGTAGCCGTCGATCAACAGCCGATGAAAATAGTTAGAATATAGTTTGACTTGTGTGTGTTACTTGTGAAAATTGTCTTGAAAGAAATGAGTGTTTTTAGCAAATATTTTCATGTGGCATTTGCACCTGTCACATGTAAGGATATTATTCATCCACACACAGACAACTGTGTGAAAGCTGCTATTGGATACTTTTTTAAGCCAACGTTGACAACAATGCAATTTTTTATACCACTATTTATGGTAAGCAAGCATCTTTCATAGATCATAGTTTGACGAGAAAAATGAAAATTAATTACAATATTTTCGATGAAGATATCAATAGCAGCAAAGAAAGATAAAATTGACCTTGAGATTTTTGTGGAAATGCTAAAAAATTTTGTTGGAGCCGTAGGAGCCGCACTGATGACCGGGTCGATTGGAACCTTTTTCATGTGCATTCTTTAGTAGGCAAATCATTTGCTATTCAAGTCCTCGAAAACTTAGTGCAAATTTACATCTGATCTGTTTCACACTTTGCAGTAGACTATTAGGACGATTCTATTGGTATACGATTGTTGGGTTGCCGGGATTTTTGGGTGCATTGACAATTTTTTTAGTGCCAAATCAAATTGCGATAATGTTTAGTCATAGTTGTCTTGTTATGGTAAGTAAATTGCTGAAAATTACAAATCAACCAGATCCAATAACAGTGTACAATTTTTTTTTGTTTTTATTTTCATCAAAGGTCACAGAAGTTCTCATTAAACGACGCGGTAGCATTCTTTTTCGGTGTATGGATAGTGTAATTTGGTTTCGAACGTTAGTCTTTATGTTTATGAGCGCAATTACTTTGGATAGTTTACGAAAAATCAAGCCACATATTTCTTGGTGAGACCCAAAAAAAGTGCTTAACATTTTGTTACCGCAAAAAAGAAAAAAATGGAAAAGTTAAAAAAGATCACTTGAAAAATATATATATTTCGGTTTTAGGTTCATTGAACCAGTGCGAAGAAGATCAAAACGTCGTTATGAATGTTATGACGAGAGTCCAATATTTGACTCAATGATTCCGGTTTCGGGAAATGTTTGCAGCCATAAAAATGGATGTGATACATTTATAGTGAATGTAAACTATGTCTAATTTTAAAATTTAAAATTCGAAACATAGTTTTGTGACATTTTCATCGTTCTACATATTTTAGGAACTGAAAAAATATTTCAAAATTGGTTTGGCCATTGAATTTGTTCAAAGTGTGTTGAGAAATGTTGATCAATTTAAACAGAATGCATTCAAAGGTGTGTGGAGCATAATCACAGGATTTAATGTTAAATTTTTGCTTTTTGCTGTTTGCTACCCGTTTACATACCGAGTATGTACAATGCATCGTTTACATAAGTTAATGTCCAATGAATGCAAATTTCGTTTTGTTTTGTTTTCAGGCTCTTACCTGCATGTTCAATCGGCTCTATGGTTTTGAATCAAAGTCTTCAAATTATATGGCTGCTTTTTTTGCTGGTGTTTTCTTTTATTTTTATCCACAAATGCCATTTTTGACATACGCCATTGCATGCACGATTGAAATAATGTGGCAACGTCTTCGGAAACGTCGAAAGTTTGTGATCATCCGGAAAATCAATGAATTACCACTTGCCCGAATATCTTACGCAATTTTAGTGCCGGTTTTATTTCATATGCGATCTTTCTATCCTTGGCAAACACCCGTATTGATTCACAAAGTGATGAATTTGGTCACTTGTAGGCAGTAAGTTAATTGCATTTAAATTAATTCAGCGTCAATTGAACGTTGTACTATATTTTTCTATTTTAACGCTTTTTTTGTCGTCCTATTTTATTTGTAGTGACGAAAAAATGTTGATGAACACCTATAAATTCCTAATACCATCAAATGCTTGATTGAATAAAATGTACATGGACTAAATGGAACACTGGATTTGTTGTTTTTTTTTCTCTTCTTTTCGAAAATGTTAAATAGGAATGAGAGAGTTAAAACGTATTTTAAGTCAATTTTATTTGAATTTCATATATTTTGTTAATGTGCGTGTGTGTGTGTGCTTGCACTGAGTTCGTTGAATAAATATACTTGAAATAATTTGCATATAATAAACTAAGTACAGTTGTTAATTTTCCTTCATACGTTATCATTAACATTTAGTCTATGATTTTTTTTTACATTCATTTGTGTGGTTTAGGCCAGGGTTTCATTCAGTTGATTCGTGTTTCTTGTGTTTCAGACAACGGTTTTGGTTTTATTTTATAGTGCTTATATGAGCGAGATGGCTGCGCTCAGTAAATACTATAGTGAAATTATGAAAAGTCATAATGTTACATGTGCATATGTTTTACATCCAGATGAGTCGTGCACATATTTTCTACTTAAAACCATACCCATAACACTATTTCGAACAGCTCAATTTTTTGTTCCACTTTACTTTGTGAGTATAGTTTTGTATTAAAAGACAAAAAACATATGGGTCAAATCTTATGACCATAATCATCCACGTGCCAACTTGAATCCTGGTGTTTGTTTTCAGTTACCGATGTTGGCCAATTCGAAAAATTTCACCAAAGAAAAATTGTACGACGTTCTTAAGGTTTTTGTTAGCTCTGTTATAGCAGGAGGTTCAACTGTTTATGGTGCATTTTTATCCATTTGTTTGCTATCGTAAGTGTACATGAAATGTGCAACGATATCAAATGACAACTAAAAAAATAATTTTAATTTTTCACAAAGAAATCTCATTGGACACACGTCATTTTGGACTCTTATACCGATACCAGCGATGGCAGGCGGTTTTACCATATTCATGGCAACTGAAAAAGTTCACGGTTTCTTCTGTCATGCAGTATCATTTATCGTAAATAAAGTTATATTTGCTGTACAGCAGTTGTAGCAATGTCTTTCAAACGATGATATAATTGTTTTGTGTGTTACAGACTTTCGATATATTGGTGCGTGATGGATCACTATGGCCATTGCGAATGCTTAAAACTTATCGTTCGTTGCGTACAATATTTTTTATGATTCTCAGCGGTATTATTGTGGATTCAATGTATCTAAATGGTGATTCAATAATTTGGTTATTCAAACCTCTGCGAAAATACAAACCGAAAATCGAAAATGATATTTCATCCAATAAAACGAAACCATTCGATCAACATCACATCTGCGATCACAAGAGAATTAGTTGCAAATCATATATCTTACAAGTATGATCATTTGAATAACGATGCTTTTTTGTTTGTAATCAATTCACATTATACAAAATTAATAATACAAATTGCATTATGCCATGACTTTAAATTTTTCTTTGCAGGTTTTCAGAACATATTTAATGCTTGGCATGGCCTTAGAGATTCTTAAATCGTTGTTCAGTAACTTTGGAGCAATTTTGAAAAATCCGCTAACTGGATGGTTCTATATAATCAAACATATTAAACCGAATTTTTTACTCTTTGTCTCTCTTTATCCGACATTGACAGAATCAATAAATTGTATGCTAAACAATTGGCTGCAACGATCAACTCGATTGAATCAAGATATTTCGGCAATTCTTGGTGGTCTTCCATTTTATTTTTGTGCCGATGAATTACAAATTCTTGCTCATACTTTTATCACTGCTATCGAAGCGATTTGGCATCGTTACAAACTGTATTCTGATCCCACCACCCAAACATACCAATGGTTAACAAAAATTCCATTCGCTAAAATTGCATTCATTTTTGGTGGAAGTTATATGTATACCGCACGGCTTTTCTACCCATGGATTGCTCCGAAATTTTTGCAAAGGTTGATGATGCTAATTACAAACAATAAGTAAGTAAAAAAAATGCATCATACGCGTGTGTTATAATATGTTATATTTAAATTAAAATTTACAGATTTGATGTCATCGGTGAACGCGTTCATTCACTGTGGATACCAGAGGTCATCATTTAAATTGCATTTGCAATCGAGTTAAATTCAATCTGTAATTACAATTTTATTGTTTTTTTTTTTTTGTTTTTTTTTTTATTTGAATAATAACATATTATAGAAGGTTACATTAGATTTTGAAGGGAACAAACAACAACAAAAAAAGGTTAAATGTTAATGAAAATGTGTATGTTTTTTTTTAAAATGTTTTTAATCAACTTCCTCGACTGTGGGACCACGTTGGGGTCCGCTAGGATGTTGTCGATCAGAATCACCTCCTCCGGCACCGTGCATTTTTGCCATAATTGGACCACATACATTTTGCAAATCCTTCAATTGATGCTCAAATTCATCTTTTTCCGCCAAATTGTTTGCGTCAAGCCATTTCATTGTTTCCGAACATTTATCTTTTACAGTTTGTTTGTCTGCATCGCTTACTTTACCGGTTGGTGCATCTTCGACCGCTTGTTTACATGCAAAAATGTACGTTTCCAATTGGTTCCTGGATGCAATTTTTTCCTTTTGACGTTCGTCTTCTTCGCGATATTTTTCTGCATCGGCCAACATTCGATCAATTTCAGCTTTCGATAAGCGCCCTTTGTCATTTGTAATTGTGATCTTCTCTTGGCGGCCAGTACTATTATCTTTGGCCGATACATGTAAAATACCATCAGCATTTAAATCGAATTGAACTTCAATTTTTGGTACACCACGCGGTGCGGGCGGAATTCCGGTTAAATTAAATGTGCCAAGAAGATTGTTATCTTTCGTCATGGCTCGCTCGCCTTCATATACTTGAATAGTAACGGCATTTTGGTTGTCGCTGTATGTAGTGAATGTTTGCTGTTGCTTGCATGGAATGCGTGCATTGCGTTCGATGAGTTTGGTCATCACGCCGCCAGCCGTTTCAATACCAAGCGAAAGCGGTGTCACATCAACTAGAAGAACGTCTTGAATTTTCGAACTTCCTTCACCCGATAGGATAGCTGCTTGCACGGCAGCACCATACGCAACCTATTTGTAAAAAAAGTAAGGGAAAGATTAGGTATCCTCATGCACAGTTTTACTTTTTCTTTTACTTACCGCTTCATCCGGATTAATTGAAAGATTCAAGGTTTTGCCATTGAAGAAATCTTGAAGCATTTTTTGAATTTTTGGTATACGAATGGAACCACCAACTAAAACGACCTCATCAATTTTGGCCTTATCCAATTTGGCATCGGTCAATGCTTTTTCCACCGGCTGAAGAGTCGATCGAAATAAGTCCATATTAAGTTCTTCGAAGCGGGCTCGCGATATTTTGGCATAAAAATCGAGACCTTCATGCAAAGCATCAATTTCCAATGAAGCTTCTGTACTTGATGACAATGTTCGTTTTGCTCGTTCGCATGCTGTGCGTAAACGTCGCAAGGCGCGTGCATTTCCCGACAAATCTTTTTTAAATTTTCGTTTGAATTCATCGGAAAAGTGACTGACCAAACGATTATCGAAATCTTCACCACCCAAGTGAGTGTCACCGGCCGTTGAACGTACTGAAAACAATGAACCTTCATCAATTGCAAGAATTGATACATCGAATGTGCCACCGCCCAAGTCAAAAATCAACACATTCTTTTCGCCTTTTAAATTCTTATCAAGGCCATAGGCTAATGCAGCGGCTGTGGGCTCATTGATAATACGCAAAACATTTAGGCCAGCAATTTGACCGGCATCTTTAGTAGCCTGACGCTGGGAATCATTGAAATATGCCGGAACGGTGATGACAGCATCTTTAATTGAGGTGCCCAAAAATACTTCGGCAATTTCTCGCATTTTTGTTAAAACCATCGAACTGATCTCTTCAGGTGCAAACACTTTGCGTTCACCTTTGAATTCAACTTCAATTTTCGGTTTGCCACAATCATTGATTACAGTGAATGGCCAATGTTTAATGTCATCTTGAATTTTTGGATCATCAAATTTACGACCAATTAATCGTTTTGCATCAAATACCGAATTTTTTGGATTCATTGCGACCTGCGAAGCAATAAAGCGAAAAAAAAAGATATCAAATTATAACAAAATACATTCAAAACCAGACAATTTTATTGTGTAATTTGCAACGCATATTGTGAATAACACACGAATCGCCATTGAATATTATATCGAAAATAAAGCAATAAACAAACACGTATGTCATGCTTTGCTATTTTGATGTCATTGTAAGTAGGCGCGCGCGCACACAAGCGGTTAGCCGCTCCTGTAATAAAGATTTCACGCTGCTACCTATATGTCATAATGTCAAATTTAGATTCACCAAATTCAAAGCACACATACATATGCCACACATTTTTTTTAATCGCAATAAATATGGTTCGATTGCCTGCGATCTATCGCAAATCAACAAACCAAATCGAAAGTGTTGGGCGACAGTAACGTTCGACGTCATAAACGCAGTATACACAAACACTGGACTTGTTTTTTTTTCTCAAATGGTTATGTGGTTTTATATCATAGCTATTTTTAATACAAAAAAAAAAAACGTTATGTTCTTGCATGAAAATCGTGGGTGTTTCTCATGTTTACATCTATAGACATTGAATTTTCCTACTAAACTCATCTTCAATAGAAGAATAAAAAATTAGATATGTGCCAAAAATATACAGCTATTGATCTAAATACATATATCAACATTTACCAAAATAGAATTACTCATCCATTAAAACTATGTGTGTATTTTTTTTAATTTGATTTCATTCATGTTCGAGAAATTTCGCATCGATGCGAAAATATCAAAATTAAAATCTCACACAATTTTCTATTTTCGATGCATTGTGTTTCTTTTGTTTTTCTTGATTTCAAATCTCATTTGAAATGGAGACGCGTATGGATTATGCACTAGAAATTGTGATACATTTCAATCGTCAGTAAATAGAAAACAAAGTGCACGTTATATTTCAATCAAAATAGAGATGAGATTAAAAAAAAACAAACGCACCTTATATGCGATGAATATATTATAGCGGGAAGAATTGTTAATTAAAGCATTTTTTTCACGGTTCCGCACAATACACGCACACAAAAAGAACGATAGAGCCAAAACGACAATTAATAATTCATTAATTGTCAAGCCAAAATCTGAAGAGATGAATCGTGGCCATTTGACAATGCACACACGCACACACTCTCAAATGTTCTCAAATAGTTTATTGTTTGAATAATGCATTAGTATCATTGGCGATGTGCTGTACCAAAAATGGTCAAGTACATGAGAACCTTGATGTCGCTACACAAATGATACATTCTCGACACAAATGCTACATTATTCACAAACATCGCTAAGGGCAAGCTTTTCAATTATACAATTTTAAAAAAACAGTAACAAAATGTGGAACACAAAAACCAAAATGCATTGTGAATTGTATATATCCTGTGCGCGCGTGATGTTCATGTCATGAAATGAGCAAAAACAAAAATTGATTTCCATTTTGGTATATTTTGCTTACTTGATTTTTTGCGGCATCACCAATCAAACGTTCGGTATCGTTGAATGCCACATAACTTGGTGTTGTACGATTCCCTTGGTCGTTTGCAATAATCTCAACTTTTCCATGTTGAAAAACTCCAACGCACGAGTACGTCGTTCCCAAATCGATACCAATTGCTTTTGCCATTATGTTCTGTTTATTCAAACGAAAAAATGAGAGATAATCAAAATATACATAGTAGAACTTCATCAACTCAACAACAAAAACCACATTTAATTTGATTGTGAACAATGCACTTAAATGAAACATGGAATTAAATATTTTTTTGGTCATTGAAACACATTCTGTGGCTCACTTTGGAATTCAAATGAATATCTTCTTTTATAGAGAAGACGAAAAAAAAATGTTTCACGCAAAAAGAGTCACAGAAAATGCGTCAATGTGTTCCAAAAATTACATAACATTTCTCCATGGTAATAAAATTTAAAGGAAAACACAATCGGTTCGATATAATAACTGTTTTTCGTTCAATAGACTACTCGATTATTTAAAAAATGACTCAAATTTTAATACGTTTACTAGATGGTTTTGAGAAAAGTGAAATGAAAACTGACTTACTTTTTTTTTAAATAAAGAATAACAATTTACCACAGTATTATGATTTGTTTTATTCGCGTAGTTGCAGTTTACGTCGCACTGCTGTTCGCTCTTTTCGCCGGCAAATCCGTAATAAAACTAACAGAAAAATGTCATTTAGCAAAGCCTTTAAATTCAACAGATAGATCGTTCTGTATGGAGTATGGAATATTCTGAGTCAATGTTTCATCTAAAAATAAATTGTGAATAGCATCATCACAGAAATTGCTAGAAATCAAAATACGCCCGAAAGTCGGCAATATTTAAAAAAAAACGAAAAGAAAGTAAAAATTCAATCAAAATAGCCGAAGATGTTTTTTTTTCTTTTGTTATTCTGATTCGCTCGAACTTAATTCGTGTGTTTATTTCTCGTTTTGTCTACGATTCACATTAAAAAAAATTTTCTTGCTTTATAATCAAATGTTGTTTGTTTTATTTTTAAATGGTGCGACGATAGCGTTCGATGTCGATTCACTTTCGTTTTCCTTTCTTTTTCTTAGCTTCTGGCCAGGGAAAGCCACGAACTTTCAACACATCCTATATATTATGAGAAAAAAAAGAATCAGTCTTATGTGAGGTGTTTTGAGACGATAAGAATCATAAGTACCTGTACATTATGACAAATTAGGTATGCATTTTCCATAGCACCTTCGCTAAAGATGTCACCTTGAATTTTTGACGATTTTGCTGACGAACCACCAGCAGAACGACCATTTTTCTTTTTTCCACCACCTTTTTTCTTCTCTTTACTACCAGTCGAATCTTTACTATTACGCTTCTTTGCACCCTTTCCAGCCATCTCTTGGTAGACTAAGTCCAAAAACAATAAAATTAAAGAATGTTTCGGGTTTCGTCAATATCGATTTAACATTCGTATCATAGCGACCAATGTTAATTTACATCATAAATCGATCATATGACGGCCTAAGAAGAAAACAATAACATACAGAATATTCTGCAAAAAGACGAATACAAATTTATGTGAGCAAAAACCAAATATACAAACAGACAGCGCAAAGGTAAAACAGCCTACTTACATAAGAAACACATGTAAGTAGGCTGTTTTACTTTTGCGCTGTCTGTTTGTATATTTGGTTTTTGCTCACATAAATTTGT